TATAGAATTTCTTTCTCAAACTAGGACATTGGGCAGAAAAGGAAAATATGGCACTGTGTGTGTACACATCTTCACAGGTTACAGTGGCATTGCAGACCCAGGCTTCATCTGTACGTATGGGTAAATGTTAACAGTCACATAAAGCATGCAGAAGGGAATGCAATCACATACATAATGAAAAACTTTCATCCATAACAATGGAAAACACACCTGATGTATTGAGGAGCATACCATTTGTATTCTCTATTTTCATACAATAAAGTATCAATAAACACACACTCTCATGCTAAAAAATATTAATGCTGGCTTTAAGGAGGATGTATATAGTCTCAACTACTAATCAAGGAATAAATGTTGCACTCATAGAAAAGAAACACAAGGATGAAAAACATGAGATTACCCAGAACTTTCCTGCAGAAAACTTGAAATTCCTTAACAACAGAGCATTTTTATCCAAAAAAGTTAGAAATGAAACTAATGCGAAAGCAATAGGGGATGACTAGAATTTTTATCCCTGAAAAATCAATATTTTCTAATGATTTATAAGCAACCCAAGGTGTGAACAGTCTTCAGTTTAAATCAAGTTTTTCATACTTTTTGGCAATAGCTCTGAGGGAAACATTTGACTCCCATATGCTCCTAGACTTACCCTGAGGTTAGATACCAATTAATCCAGGTAAGTTGAAAATACCACAGATCAAAAATACATTTGTTATAGAGAACTTAAATATTAAACATTGGAACTTAGCCTAGCCTTGCTTAAACATGCTCAAAGCAAATTATTCTAAAATTGGGCAAAGTCATGTAATGCAAAGACTATTTTAGAATTAAATGTTGAGTACTTAACATAATTGATCAATACTAAATTGATAATGGAAATCAGAATGGTGTTACACATTTACACTATTGTAAAGTAGACTATTATAAGTTGAAGACTAACTTCATCAGAGTTTAAGGAGGGAAAATAGGAAGAGGTACATAATTAAATAAAGACATAATTCAGAAGCTTATCAAATATGGAAAAAGGTAAACATCAAGGAATAAGAAGTATGAAGGTCTCTAAACAAATTACATTCAAACAAGCTGATAACAAGATGTATTATAAACCAAATGCCAAACATGAAAGGAAACAACAGAATTTTACTGAAAGAACCAATTTAAAAGAATTTTGCATTTAACAGATTTCTAATAAGGCTTAAAGTGGATATTTCAGTAGAAACCATATAGAATGGGAAAAAGAGAGAGATAAAATATTTTATGCATCAAAGGAAAATGCAAGGTGAAAGGACTTTCTAAACTATCCTGCAAAATTTCTCAGATAAGCAAAAGCCAAAGAAGTTCATCACCACTAGACATCATACAGAAATGTTTAAGAGAGTTCTTCTGGTTGAAAGAAAAGTTTTCTTAACAACTGAAAGAACATATAAAAGTATACAATTTTCTGGTAAGAACAAGTATGTAATCAAATTCAGAGGATATAATGGATTGGTGGAATATAAACTGTATAGCCTAGTAAGGAAGTTCAAAAACAAAATTATTAGCAACAATTGCTAAACTAATTTGTCAAGGAGAACACTAATCATCAGGAAAATACTAACCCAGACCACAAAAAGAGATTTCATTTTACTTCAGACATGTAAGAATGATTATTATCAACAAAGATGATGGTTACCCAGTGTTCGTGAGGTGTGAAGAAAAAAGCAAACTGAAATTTCAGTTAGGAAAGAAAGATTCAATAGATCACTTAGTTAGCAAAAACAGATTTCACCAGATGTGTTGTATAACATGGTATCTCTGGTTAATAGAAATATGTTACGCTGTTGGAAAAATAGTAACAGGATGAATTTTATATATGCTTTCCAACAAAACAAAGATAAATAGGTTGCTGGGTGCAATGTCTCACATCTGTAATCCTAGCTACTCAGGTGTTTGAGATCTGAGGATTGTGGTTCAAGGCCAGCTTGAGCAGAAAAGTCAGGGAGACTCTTATCTCCAGTAACCAAGCAAACAGCGACAAGTGGAACTTCAAATAAGAGAGCACTAGCATTGAGTAAAAAAGAGATAAAGGAGAGCACCACATTCATTACCAGCACACACAAAAAAGGTAAGTATGTGAATGTACACATCTGTCATGGTAAATTTTCCAGAATGTATACATGCTTTATTTTTTAATTTTTTTATTATCTTTAAGTGATTGTACAAAGAAGTTCTCATTCTACAAAACAGTATATGAATACAAAGTGTCTAATAACATTGTCATTCCTTGCTCCTAACCCATCCCTTCTCTCACTTTTCTACTTCTTTTTTAAATTGAGATTAGGGGATTACATAATTTTCACATGTTTCACAGTATTGTGGAATAGTGATACTTAAAGTCACAAACACACTTTAACCTTCACAAGGCATGTTGTCATTATCATGGTCTATAAAGTTTGTGAATTCTATGAGTTTTGACAATACAATTATTTCTTGCACATCAGGTGATATTTACATTTCTTTCCTTTTGCTTAGTGTAAGCTGTTTCCTCTTTCCTTCTCATTCCCTCCCTCCCCATCACTGTCTTTGGGTTGCTTAGTTCATTTTCTTCCATGTCCAAAGCAGCTGATGGGCCTATCTGTTGTATGTTTTCCCGTTTCCCACTGATTCTGTGTCCTCCTCCTAGCTTCCTTCCGTTGTGTGCATATATATGCCATATATATGTGGTCAATAACATGGAATCATTGAGTAATGATATGACAAAATGAGTGGCAGTCCTTTGTTTCTCGAGTCCTGTTTACTTTGTCATATTTTAAAGCATGCGTACATGCTTTAAAAATACATCACATATAAGAATGCATATAGGGAGAAGTGTATGTATATAATAAATACATACAATTTTTTTGTATTGGTCTGGGGCTTGAACTCAAGGCTTGAGCAGTGACCAGGTTCTGTGCTCCAGGCTAGTGCTCTACCATTTGAGCCATAGCTCCACTTAATTGGAGATCGGAGTCTCATGGGCTTTCCTACCCAGGCTGCTTTTGAACCACAATCCTCAGATCTCAGACTCCTGAGTAGCTAGGATTACAGGCATGAGCCAATGGCACCTGTCTAATAACTACCTATTATTTTATGTGAGTTAAAAAATGAAAATAAATAAATCGTCTCTGAGGAGGAACTCATAAAAACAACAGTACAGAAAAGAGAATATTGTTCAAAGTGAGAGTTAAATTACCTATGTGTAAGTATACCATTGAACATTGCACAACATAGTATGTAACACATACGATATATAAGTACAATAAACATAAAATACATAACAAATGGAATATAACATGCATGTTTTGTACATGCATTGTACATATAACACATGACATACAGTATATAACACACATGTTATATCCATGCAGTATGCACCCTAACACATATTTATATATATATACACAACCTCTCTGAGTCTCTCTATTTGTGCCTTTCTCAAGCATTTGTTAAGTTTCTTTATTCACTTATTTTGTTTGGGGTTCTGTAAGTTCAAAAGCTATCATTGATCTTGGAATAGTTTATGAATACTAGTGAATAGACTAGTTTGTCTATGAGGAGTAAGTGACATAGCTAAATTTGAGCAAGTCAAATGTACTTAACATAATAAAGACTCATAAAATTCATATCTTCCCTTAGGTTGAAATGAGAAAACCTTTTCTTTCTACAGGATCATACAGGGTACCAACACTCAGAAAATTTTCATCATATTGAAACAAAGCCTCAGTCCGTGGCTCATGGAGCATAGAGTTCACTGGTCCACCTGTATTCTGGAGATTCTTTAAAAATGAATTTAATTCACTAGCTTCAATCATGGACATCCTACAATGATTATCAAGTTTCAATAGGCAGGGGGAAAGCTATTATTTTGAAGTAGCACCCAAGTTTCATCTCTGGAAGATAAACAGCTTAATAACAGAAGATTTAAAAAGATAATAAGACCACAATAATCTTTGTTGCTTTTATGATTCTAATTTGTGTCCTATTATTCCTGTTTATTTTTGCTATAATTCTTTGTGCCTGGAATGAACATGAACACAAGTGAAAGAGCATAGGAGAGCATCAAACTGCAGTTCTAAACAGAATTATTCTCACTTTGGCAGAATTATCTATTTATTCGTGGGCATCATTATTAGGTTTTTCTTTTCCCTGTCTTTCTTTCTTTGTATTTACTTATCTTTTAAATTCGACCTGCCTAGATTATCTAGGTTGGCACTGAACTCATGGGCTCAGTTGCTCTTCTTAGTTCAGTCTCTCAACTAGCGAGGACTAAAGGCATGCACTTCCCTGCCCAGCTCCATATTTGGCTTTTCCTTGTTCTAAAAGAGCACAGGATGAATGTTTTGTATACTCTACTAGGCATAATCTAGAAGTGATGGCAGTAACAGTGTTGTGTTATCCAAAGTAATATGATAGATTAACAGAAAGGAATGGGAGTTTTAAAGTCAAATTCCTCTAAAATTTTTTTGTCAGTAGCTATATGTACTAGTGAATGGCTATTTGATCCAAACAATACTATACTTCCAGTTCCAGAAGGTTCCTGGGTGATGTCTCCATCTTCTATCTTAACCTCCGTGATCAATTCCAATATTGGCAAGGTGATCAGGTCAGAAGTAGAGTTTGATGACTACATTATGCTCACTGGCACACATATTAAAACATATAGAGAGGCTATGCTAACGGGTTTTCTGGGATAGGCAAACCATGGCAAGACATAAGGATAATAACTTTAATTACTTTGTGGGGTATTTTAACTTGGTACCCTACTGAAGACAGGCATATGTGTGCATGTGTGTATGTGTATGTATATGCAGTAATTAAGAATTCATTGAATTCTTTGTAAACTAAAGTAGTATGTTTTACTTTATACATACCATAACCTTAAAAAAATCAGTGATTAGGAATATCTTAAATATCCAAAATCCTGTTTTGCCAATACCCCCCAAGGTTAGTGAACTCTAAATAGCGTTATGGAGAAATCTTACCTTCACATCTTTCACATTCATCCTCGTGCCCTCCTTCCCCACAAATATGTCATCAATGTCCACCAGGATGTACCTATCCAAGGACAAGGCCAGCCTCTTCCCCGACAGGAAAGAGATGGCGTCGATGAAGATCAACTTGTGCAGCCAGAAGTTCAAGTTGTTGCCAAAAAGAACCCTCTGAATTCCGTCGTGGAGGCCCAGGTCCTGAATGACGGTCGCATAAAGCGTCTTGCTGGGCAAAAGCGTTGTGGATGGGTCTGCCCGTAACTCGGTTAGCAGCACGGGTTGGTAAGTAGAGTGGTTGTAGAGGAAGACAGTCCAGTCCTGGCCGGGAAGAGGCCCCTTGGCCACCTTCGGGGCTTTGGTTATATGTAACAGTGGCGACTGCGGATTAACTACACAGTCCTGCAGTGCTAGATTATTGAAAAGGTTCAATGGGAAGCCTTTTAATTGCGTGCTTGGCGAGCTGTTCTCGTTGGCTTTATGAAAACCAATTATACTGACACTGTACTCCACACAGTATTTCTCCAAAAGCTCTCGGTTCCACGCGTCCATGCTGACATACTTGAGGATGTTTTCATAAATCACTAGGATGTACTTGCCTTTGCCACGGTCTGTAAGGGGAGGGATGTCCCCCTTGCCCGGGGCGATGACCATGTGGTACTGGAACCGGCTGGACTCCAAGATGGCTATGATATCCTGACCCAGCTGAGAATATTGGCTCTCCACGAACAGGAGGACAACGGGGTCGGTTTTGGAGGTGTCGATGGGCTTGACTGTCCTCAGCTCCATTGACCGGTAAGGGAGGATTTTCAGGTCAGCGCAGTCCGCACCTGCAGTAGTCTCGATCAGGGCGATCTCCTGTTTGTAGCCCGAGTAGAGGAAGTAAGCGGAGACCACAATGCTCGCCAAGCAGAAGGTGACCAGCAGCACAACCAACGTGCGAAAACTTCTCCGCAGCCTGACGATCAGATTCATCTTCTTGAAAACGGTGCTCTTTGAAAGTCGCTTCTGATGTCTTTGCCTAGAGGGCCATGGTGAAGGCCGTAGGAGATGGTGCCAGTACCACTCCCCAGAAGTTCATGTAACCATTGCCAATCATGTAGAATAGCAGAAGGAATCACAAACGAGCTAAAACCAGACGGCGGTAGGCCCGGATGGCCAAAGTTGGAAGAGATTCTTGACTGGGTCCAATGTTAAGAATCCCTACTGAATCCTTTGATCATAGTCTGAAAAGGAGGAGAAATCTATCTAAGACAAAAATAGGAACATATCCACATGTTGGCAAACATGCTGATATTATAAAAAAGAAAAAAAATGAAAACATACCTAAGAAAATCTTAGTCCCGTTAATATGCTAAAATACCAATAGCATGATAGTGAGAATCTATATTCTACTGCTTATAGGAGTGATAGATGTTTGTTTATAATCTCCTCCAGAATATAGGACTTCAGATGAATATATAGTGATATGAAATTTTCAACTAGCCAGCTCAAGGAACTGTAAGTGTTGGAGGGGATAAATACAATATGTCCATAAAAGTAATTGTTTGAATGCGCAAATTCAGTATGTCAGTAAAAGGAAGCTTTATTTTATTTTATTTTATTTGTGTTGGTCGTGAGGCCTGAACTCTGAGCCTGGGCACTGTCCCTCAGCTCTTCAGCTCAAGGCTAGTGCTCTACCACTTGAGCCACAGCACCACTTCTGGATTTTTCTGCTTATGTGGTACTGAAGAATCAAACCCAGAGCCTCATGCATGCAAGGCAAGCACTATAACACTGAGCCACCTTCCCAGCCCAAGAAGCGTTAGATTTAATGCACTGTAAAAATATTTTTTTTCCAAGAATAGCAAACATTATGTGCACATTAGGTACTTGTAGGGGGGTTGGTGCAGTATCTGCGTAATTCTCTTGAGTGTCAGGCTGAATATATGATTTCTTTGTCTGACATTTATGACAGTTATAAGATTTTCCCTTTAGTAATAGATTTTAAAAAAATCTAGACTCAAAGGGAACCCTTAACATGACAGCTGGAATAAATAGATAGGATAACTCTTTTCTATTCTAGAGAGAGGTAGGGAAGAAAGAACTTAAGGGAAATTAGCATTTTTAGACCAATGAAATTGAATGAGACTGGAAGCCTAGCTAAGAAGAAAATGGAATTTTGCATTGCCAGTCTTTATATATGTGTTCAAAAAGACAGTAAAGAAGAAATACTAATCATTCCAAAATTGTTTCTTCAAGTGGGTATAACTTTCAATTATTATTAGTCAGTAAATTCCATTCTAATCTAAGTCTCTTCATTTTTTAGAAGCTGGGTTAGAGTGCTTAAAGATTTCTTTTCCAGTTTGCCAACCTAGTGATATTAGGAAAGTACTTGAAATAGTTCATACTCTCAAGTTGTGATATTTATATTGAAAAGATATATATTGATGCACCTCACAGAAAATCAAATTAATTTGTTCTCTGAAGATTTTGCAATACATTATGCTATGAATATGTTATGTTGCTATATTTTATTTTTCACTTTGTAAATCTGACTGCTTACTATTAAAAACAACTGAAAGTTATTAGATAAAATGATTAATCATCATTAATATTATTAATACACCAATAATAGCATTAATACACTAAAATTTTCTTTGTTATTTACTTAAACTCAAAATTTCAATATTCAGTGGAGTCGTTTGCTTTTACTAATTTATGTTAAAGTGTATCAAACATTCAAAATTTGTTAGCTTGAAATTTGTACTAGTTTATTTTTAGTTTTTATTTATTTATTTATTTATTGCCAGTCCTGGGGCTTGAACTCAGGGCCTGAGCACTGTCCCTGTCTTTTGCTCAAGGCTAATGCTCTACAACTCGAGCTACAATGCCACTTCTGGCTTTTTCTGTTTATGTTGTACTGAGGAATCAAACACAGAGCTTCATGCATGCTAGGCAAGCACTCTACCGCTACGCCACATTCCCAGCCAAAAATGTCTACTATATTTTAAATTATTTTTATTTCTACAATTTCAAACATATAAATGATTTCATATTCAGTTAGAGGAAATTAATTCCGCATATGAGGGATTGACTCAAACTCAATTACAAATACAGTTTTTTCTTAGGAAGGAGATGGGCAATGGGTTTAACTTAGGGCCTCTTACTCGTGTGACTTTGTGGCTCAAGGCTAGTGTTCTACTACTTGAATCATATGTCTACTTTCAGCTTTTTGCTGGTTAATTGGAGACAAGAATCTCCTGGATTTTTCTTTGAATTTTGATCCTCAGGTTTCAGTCTCTTGCGTAGCTAGGATTACAAGCATGAGCCATGGTTATTTGTGCTACAAAAACCTATCAAGGTTTTTGAAGCCTGCTCTCTTTTTTAAAAAAGTCAATATTGTGTTGGTTACTATGTCTTAGTGATAGAATGCTTGCTCTGCATGCTCAAGGCTTGGGGTTCGATCTCCAGTACCAGAAGAAAGTTACCACCTTTACCAGTACTAGAATCTGAGCTCTGTAATCTATTGAAAATGATTTAGCCAACTTTTTAGCCCCCACCTAAAAATATTATATATTATTTTACTAAATGTAAACGGAATGCAGCAATGAAAAAGCTTGGTTATGGCATGAAATATGTAAACCAATTATGTTGTACCTTGACATTTGTGAATATTTATAAATATTGAAATGGATATATTTTTAAGTGAGCATTAAGTTAATTAAGCAGCATGAATATTATGTTAAAAAGATTTTGACTTTGTCAAAGAGGATTATCTATTCTTACCAACTTCCCTGGACTTCTCTAAACTCCGATATGTGACTTCAAACTTCATTGAAGTCTCTGACCCAAAATTTCTTCTTGTAGGAATAGATGCTTATTTAATCCAAAAATTTAGACATTTGTTTAGTAGTTTCAGAAGAACTTTAGGCCGTGTCTGTAATCCTAGCTTCTTAGATTGAGGATTGTGGTTCAAAGCCAGCCTGGGCAGGAAAGTTCCCATGAGACTCTTATCTCCAACTAACAACCAACAATCTGGAAGTGGAGCTGTGGCTCAAGGCAAAAAAAGCTCAGGGACATCATGTAGGCCCAGAGTTCAAGACCCAGTCCCTACACACTCTGTCTCTCTCTCTCTCTCTCTCTCTCTCTCTCTCTCTCTCACACACACACACACACACACACACACACACACACACACGAATAAACTTCACTAGAGATCTAAAGAAAAAATATATTAGTACTTTATTAAATTACCTATTCTGTATTAAAACAATGTGATTTTTTTAATGTACAAAGGAAAAGATGTCTATTTTTCATATTCAAACTCCTAATGTGCAATGGTGGAAATGAAGTTAAAAAAAGCATATGGGAAGAGAATCTGCCAACCCAAAGAATAAATAAAATTTAAATGTGACATTTATTTAAGATTAATGTGTTCAGAGTTAGAAGAATGATAGATACATCTACCATAATGTTAGATGTGGTGTGTGTGTGTGTGTGTGTGTGTGTGTGTGTGTGTGTGTGTGTGTATAACTTTAGGAGTTATTCAATCTTTCCTCTTCCCCTTAACAAAAGTTGGCCAAATTAACAAAGTTGCCTACAAGTATTAGAGATCAGAAGTAATGTAATGGCATTGAAATCACACAATTGAAATGTGGTTGATTGTACTTCTTTCATGTATATATGTATACACACACACACACAGGCATACACACAATGGAATTCTATGCTTCTTTTGGAAAGAATGATATTGTACCATTCATAGGGAAACAGAAAGACTTGGAAAAATTATATTACATGAAGTAAGGCAGTCCCAAAGAAACAGAGGTTGCATGATTTCTCTCATTAGTGGTAACTAGACTCATATATATAGAAGTAAACACACTAGAACGTTAAAAAAAAACACCCTGGGACATGATAAATTACACATACTCTGGACATTCAAACAATGAGACCAAAGGAGGATATTCATAGGAGTGGATCACAAAGGCTCAATAGCTCTATGCATATGATCATATAAAATAAAATTTATTGAAATGGTCTCCAAGAAATGGAAGCAAGAGCTTTTGTTGTTGTTCCTGTTTTTGTTGTCTTTTCCTTTTATCCCTTTGTTAGTTTATTTGTCTTTGGGATGGTGAAAGAAGACATCCAACAGGTGAACAGGGTGAACAAATGCAGCAGTGGTAGTCTCTAGACACTATGTGGAAGATGAGCTATACAGCTTGTAGATGGGGATGGGTGGGAAAAACTGGGAGAGAGCGAGGGAAGGAGTGACAGGGTTCAAAGGAAATGTACTCTTTACCTGATTTAGATAACCACAACCCCTCTGTGTATCACCTTTACAATGACTCAATATGTTTAAACAAAAAAGGAAAAAAGTCAAGCGAATGTTTGCGGGGGGGGGGGTAGGAACACCAACTAATAAAAGTTTCTTATATTACTTATAAAAGTTAAGTATGACAATTTAGGATTTTTTTAGTTTGTTTCTCTTGTTTACTTTTACGTTGTTTTTGACATGGTCTTTCTATGTAGGCCAGATCAGCCTCAAACTTATAATTGTACAAACCCCCACCTCCTGGAAGGCTGAGGAGACCATAGTTCAGCATCATTTCACTAGCAATTGAGATCATTTTTAAAAAGAAAAATGTGTTAAATGAGTCAGATAAAATTAAGGAAATTGATTTCAGTGTAATGGCAAAGATATTATCCAAACAACTCCAAATATGTAAAACTATGTTCCTTGTGTAGTTTAGGACTCTAAATTGACATGTGTAATTTTAATCTTACCTCAGTCTCGTCCCCTCTGGAGAATGAAACTGAGATTAGATAGCACTAACAGGAGTTCTTCTCACATGCTTCCTTCACATCCTATGTCAGCCTCTCCTGGTGAAATAATGGACAACCTACAGATTACTGAGTGAACTGCACATGTGAAAGCTCAACATTCCAGCACCAAGTAAAATAAAGAATGATTCTTTTTCAATTTTTTAAAA